TTATGGAAACTGCACTCAGGTGGCAGATTTTCGTAAAAGAGATTTAAACAGATCTCTACCCTTTCGAGCCATTCGTCCTGCTTTGAAAAGCTAGTGAATTTTAAAAATATCATAAACTTCCAGGGAAATAGCTTACCCATATGCTTTTAAATTTAAACGCCATAAAGAAGTGCTTTAAAATTCGAATCAGTACTACATGTGTTGTTGGAACTCAGATAAATAAAAATTTCAAAATTTTATCGCTTTACGGCACTCACTTTCATTAGAAGGGATCCTTTCCACTGTCATAGTAATCAGTTCATGAAGATTCAGTTTCAAAGCCATGATAAGCGCCTCGGCGAATGACTGCTGATCCAGCTTCTCATACACCGCTTTAGGGGTTACGTCGCTGTCCAGCATATACGGGTCGAACAACGTCTGACTGTTCGAAGAATAAATCAGTAAACCCTCGGTAGTACATGCTGCTAAGGCTGTTCCTACAAAATTTGATTTATTCAATGCCATATAAACTAATGGCTACTTACCGGTGGGAGAAAACTGAACACTGTAGATACGTACTTCTGGTCTAGCCGACCTTATGCCTATGTCCTCTTTTCGGACACCTGGCAATTTGATAGCGGATTTGTTCGTCAATTCATCATCGTCACTCGCATCGATTAATTCTATGTTTCCAAATTCGCTCATTTTCCTCATATCAACGTCATCCTGTCACGAAAATTGATGAAAACTCAAACGTCTAAGATCAAACAAAGAATATTTAAAAACGTGGGATTATGGTGCATCACTAACCATACCGCTACCTACAGAACATATAACTGAATTAATACTCGATATGCCATTCTCTCATGATGGCGTTTTGATGGCTGGAGAACGGGGACAATTGGAAAAGCTTCCTCGAGCAACAACAGAAAAGCCCTCGCGAACCCGGCAAGAATAGGGAGTGGGCATTGAAAATGAATGAATAGGCACCGTACTGCGTTAGAGTATCATTTCACGTCAGATGAAGAAACGTAACTGGCATGAATGATTCTGCCACCTATTTTAGAATTTATATGCCATGTCGCGATATTTTTTTTTAACTGCGTATGTGTCATAAACCAACAACAGACATTAAACAACAGATGTTTAATCTTTGAGTACTCTCTTTCGGAATCAAAAGATGACACAGCTCTGATTCGAGGAACAGACAGAAGTAGCAAAGAACTTCTCAAAAGTAACACTGTTCTAGAAAGAGTTTAATGGTCTACAGAATGCCACATATGAGGCACTGATCAGCTTGTATTATCACCTGTTGAATATCAAAATCGTTAACGTAGTCATATAATGTTGTATGCATGATGGAGTATATCTGTCAAATGAACTACCCGCTTTTACTATGTAACGCGCCATTCTGCGTTAATGGTAGTTGCAATGCATCCACTGAAAGCATAATGGAGCTACACCATGAATAAATTGCTGAAGTCCAATAGTCCAGCAGAACCTGTTTCAATCAGAATCTGCTCTGACTTACAAATACCTGAACTGCATTATTCTGAATCTATAAGCCTGAACCAAGAGTTTTAAGACAATCACGTCCAGAATCGAACGGAACTCAAGTGCTGCTTAAACACAATTCTGCAGATATCTGAGGAAAGGTCAATTTAAAATCACTGCTTTAGTCGTTTGAATCCGATGCGATGCTGTGAGATATTTTGCCATAATTTGCCATGCTACAAGCTGCATACACTTCTGAGGCAACATAATCGAACATGTCATCTGCTTACATCCACAGCATTCAGCGAACGATTGCATGTGATTTTAAACTTTTTCAGCAACATCTGCTGCTCCACACTGTAAAGGCACAAAAAAGGTGACTGGCCACCGGCCAGCAGACATTCGCCATCAGGCGAAAAAGCGATTGAGGTGAAAGATCTGAAAAAAGAATGCCATACATTCGCACTGAGTTGCACTACAGCGATGAATTTACTTCGAAGTAGCCGATTTAGCCGCTGTTATGACGTCGGTGTCAGAACGTTTTGGATCCAGGTCAAACTTGCCTTCGATGGTGTTCATTTGGACGTTGTTCCTCCAGTCGAAAATCGTTATTACGCAGTCAAGGGTACAACAGGCGAGAAGTGATCCATCCGGACTA